AAAAAAAACTTTCAATAATCAAACCCATAAGGGAAACCAGAAAAATTTAAGAGTAATAATCTGATTCTTCACTTAAAAATCTCTTTGGAAACTTCCATGAGAGATCCTGGAAGACTGGTCCATATGTTTGACTCTCTATAAAACACTAAACTGTGTTTGAGTTGTACCACAGTAAGGGGGTCTAATAAGACAATTTCTACGAGTTGAATACTGGAATACTGTTGAATACTCCGTTGAACAAACACCAGATGGTGTTCTCTCCATTACTGTAATAATATGTAATCAGTATTATTACTAAAGTCACTAAAACATGTCCTCTGCTTCTTCTAATTTAGATTTATAGAACCTGTGCATATAATATTGTGGCTATGTCTCCTCCAACTCCACATTTGGTGGTAGGCTATCTCTGAGCTGACAATTTAAAAAATCCTCTTCTGAGATATGCTCTCTTCTTTTAAACGGACCTTGTTTTTTTTTTTTTTTTTTTTTTTTTTTTTTTTTTTTTTTTTTTTTTTTTATTTTTGCCAAACCGGAAATACTTTTTTTCGGAAGTCGAGTTGGAGACGAGGACCGTCTGGTTGACTCACACTCAGGCACGTGCACAGGGGTGGGGGGCTGGAGCACCTGCCCCCTTTGCCCTTTGTCCTAAAGTGCCCTTTRGGTCAAGTGTTTTATTTTATTTATTTATTTTTTGCATATGCCCTGCTCTAACACCTAGTTAAAATATATATTAATAATGTTATGATGCTATTTTGTAAAAGAAAAAGAAAATGACATCACCTGTTACCTTTGACCTATTTACCTTGTGACGCGCAGCATCTTGCTATTCCATCTGGTTTGTGTTTAGTTGGACCACCATTTATTTTTCAACAGGACAATGACCTCAAACACACCTCCAGGCTGTGTAAGGGCTATTTGACCAAGAAGGAGAGTGATGGGGMGCTGCGCCAGATGATCTGGCCTCCACAYTCACTGGACCTGAACCCAATCCAGATGGTTTGGGGTGAGCTGGACCGTAGAGTGAAGACAAAAAAGCCAACAAGTGCTAAGAATCTCTGGGAACTCCTTCAAGACTGTTGGAAGATCATTTCAGGTGACTACCTCTTGAAACTCATCGAGAAAATGTCGAGTGTGTGAAGCAGTAATTAAAGCAAAAAGTGGCTACTTTGAAGAACCTAGAATATAAAACATATTTTTAGTTGTTTCACACTTTTTTGTTAAGTATATAATTCCACATGTGTTAATTCATAGTTTCGATGCCTTCATTGTGAATCTACAATTTTCATCATAGTCATGAAAAAAGAAAACTCTTTGAATGAGAAGGTGCGTTCAAATTTTTGGTCTGTATATATATAAAATTTTATAT